TTGGTTTTTAAAGTATGTTGTGTCTTTTAATGTGGCCAAAGTATTTCAACTGTCTATTGAATCAAGCTGACTGAAATCTCCTGGCTTAAGTCAACACTGCATCAAATACTGATACACTCAGGTCACCGGACATTCCAATGGACTCACGAAAACACAGCTTGCACGACATTGTCCCTAACAATGTTGCAACCCTTCTGAATCAGCACACAACACCCACTACTCCAGAGACTCAATTTGATTTTCTAGTTGCTTGTTCATTGTCCAAGTTTCTGCACCGTATAGCAGGACTGAGTATGTATAACATTTGACGATTCTCATTTTCAGTGTGTTTTTTATCTCTCTAGCTGTCAGTAACTTACGCATCTTATTGAAGACAGTTTTAGCCACTTCCTATTCTCTTTTTTATTTCCGTTTTGCCTCTGAATAAGAAAAACATGTTACTTGTTCGAATAGCTCTCCGTTTACTGTAATGTTTCACTGTTGGCCGCTTTTTTCCTTTTGTTAATTATTTTAGTTGTTTTCCTCTCCGAATGTTAATGTCTTAACTATACTCTGAATAAACACTATTGAGGTAGCATTGTATTGATAAACTAGAAGCAGAGCTGGTACAGAGATAGCCAGTTCTATGGTTGTACAGTTCTGGGGAACAACTGGTATCAACACTAGACAATTTCTATCTTTCTGCACAGTGATTTTGTCATGAGTATATTTAATCACACTGAGCCGATGTTCATAAGCTAGGTCTATTTTTTTTTCTTCTGGCTAATAATTAAACATGAACAGGTTGTGCATGCTACACTCAATGGAACAGTTATGAAGTAACAATACAGAGCAGGCCATTACCTGAGAGAATTCATAAAACTCAGTTGCAGCAGAATTGTCTCATCCTGTTAATGTGAGAACAGTGTAGAGGGTTAATTGTCAGTGTTAAATACCAGTGTCAAGGTTAGTTGTGTATCCTTTACAGGACGTTGAAGAACCAACCCCAACAGGGCTGTTGTGTGGTTTTTCTAGGCAAATTTACGTCCAGTAGTTTGCCATTGCTTTCTGGACAGTCGGCTTTCTTGATACCACTGTCGAAACCAGCACAAGGCCCATGGCCCTCAGCTGGGATCAAACCCGGCATCCTGGCATTACGAAGCGTTCACATCAACTTAGCCACAAAGTGGACCTATGCCAGTGTAGCTGTCAGAGAAATTTCACATAAATAGTTACAAACTGTAAACAAATAATTTAACAAAATTATCATTAATTATATATAACATATTTTATAAATTAATTGCAATAACTTTTAAAACTCATTTCAATGGAATAATTTATTTACCTGCAAAAGTAAAACAAAATTAATGGTAATAATATTAGCGGTGATACGATAATAATATTAATCATAAAAGGATAACAAAACCAATAGTGATAGGAACATATTTTTAAAAAGCAACAACACACGCAATTTAAATGGTATTGATAAAGCAGAATTAGGAAAATTTAAAGGTTGGAGAAGCAGTACACACAACTACCAACACAGCCGTCTAAGAGTAAGTTCTCTTCTCACTGACCCCAGGCTTCAGTGTCAAAACAATGCGTGCAATCACTGCATAAGTAAACCATCAACCATCTCTACAGCTTAGTATGGTGGAAACACCTTTCAAAATCATCTGCAATCATGAAATTAATTGTAACAGATGATAACATTTACTGTGATAGAAGTAGTAGAATTACAATGAGTTCATTGCCAAGACAAGCATGTATCTAGTGTTTGAATGGAGATGTTTGAGAAGAGTGTCCAATGTAATCAAAATAAACAGACTAAGAAACTATGACCTCAATGAAATGGTAGCAACAACATCATGCACTGTTAATACAGACAGGCAGAGAATAAGATGGCTTGGTCACCTAATGAGAACAGAACCTATAAAACTACTCCTGTTGGCCTACAGCCATAGAGAACAACAAGTCACAGAGCATGAGGAGACCAAGGTGGAGATGTAGTGACAACATCAGCTGACAAGAACACAGGCTTATACTAGCCAGCCCAATACACCTGACAGTGGGACACAACTACAGGTTTAGGCTGACCTCCACAATAGCAGATACAAGACTGTGAAGATATACTGGCCCTTAAAACATAGGGCTGAAGAACAGGCTAGAGAAAGAGAGACTTTCAGGCGGGCTGTGAAGAGAGCAACGGTCTGTAAAGAACCTGTTGATTGATGAAACTAGATACCCTGGGTGTACCAACTGGAGCCGCGAGACAGGAAAACCATGCAAGAGCAACCCATCGTTACATCAACCAAAACAGAATGGGAGTTGTTAACCTAAAAAAAAAAAAAAATTGAAGACATACTCCTTGGAGCAACTTATGGTCATGTCTGATAAAGATGAGCTCTAACAGGAACTATGAACTATGATGAAACAGTTGTTAAAAGGCTTTTTTTTTCCTGGCAAAACAGTATATATACAATACTAGCACCTTTTTAGACACATTTTGTGAGTATAAGCACCTTTTGTTTTAAGGCATAACCGTTTCAGCGCCAATGTAATTTCTATTTTTTGGGTGAGTAATGGCACCTTTTTAGACAATTGTGAATACTGGCACCTTTTCTTCTAGGGAAAAACGCTCTGATCTGTAAAACCTTCTGTTGAGATATGAATTAATTGACCAGTTAGCCAATCAATAATCAGGTGAGGTCTCCTTGATAAAGACTGGCTGCAACAGAGGCCCTGTTAGCTCAGTCGATAAGATAGACTACCTTTCAAATCCAGCTCTGACTTGCTACAGCCCACGGCTGGTGTTTGAAACCAGGCAGTTCCCGGTGTTCACCCAGCCTCTAGGTAATGGGTACCAGAATTAACATTCTGGGGTAAATGGAGGAACGATGCTGTTGTTACGGAGTTGTGTGCGCATGGCGACACAAACAGAAAGTTTTTTTATCAGCTGTCAGTACTGGTGGCAGAGCACTTATGGTTTATAACCGTGTGCAATGATGCTGGTTCACATCTCCTGACTTGACTTTGGGGAGGGGGAGGGGGGAGCAACAGATCTCCATTATTACTTTTCATTTTAGCTGTACAGCCAGATATCTGATTGTCCATCTCTTGATCTTATCTTTCCACTTATACAGTTGCTTACCTGTTGGTTGCCTGGTTTAATTTTTTATTTCTAGCATAGTTTTTATAAGCCACTTTTTCTTCTGTTATGTTTGGAATATACAAAATCTGCTTCTTTTTCTTTTTGTTGTCCCCGCCTGTAGTTTTCTAATGAGAAAGCCATAGGCCTCTGTGAAGTCTGTGGTGTGAGACATGTCCTTCACTGTTCCAGACAACTTGGTTTCCATTGCAATGCCAACTTGCCAGACCTGGCATCTCTCTACTGTATGTAGACAGCATGTCTGTAGCACACCTTAAATATCATGTGCTGCCTTCCCACTTCAACAAAGTTCTGAATCTCTAGTCTTGAACTTCATGTATATATGGCTGCAGTTACTTGCGTATCCTTTACAGGACGTTGCAGAACCGGCACCAGAATTTCTGGGCTGTTGTGGTTTTTCTAGGCAAATTATATGTTCTATAGTGTGCCACTGCTTTCTGAAGGGTCAGCTCTTTAGACCACTGCCGAAACCAACGCAAGACAAACCGTCCACAGCTAGGATCAAAACTGGCACCCCAGCCTTACGAAATGCCTAAGCCACAGATGCCGACTGCAGTACACAATCTAAATCTAATGGTCTGTTTCTTTCATGTGAGAAGGTTGACTACATCTTCAGGGCTGTGTCTTCCATAGGAAGTGCTTCCATAGATTCTAACAGCTGCCTTCATCAGAGTTGTATTGGCCTCTGTCTCTGGCTGGTATGCATGACTTCCAGTTTTTGCTAGGTGGTCTGCTTTACCATGTCCCTGAAACTGTCAGTGACCTGAGAGAATCAATAATGAGACCAATCTCCTCCACTTCTAGTTTTTGCTAGGTAGTCTGCTTTGCCATGTCACAGAAGTCAAGAAGTACCTGTGATAGTTCTGGGGGATGAAAAGAGACGATCAGCAGTGACACATAAAGTCATGAAGTACCTGTGATGGTTCTGGGATGGAAAGAGATGATCAGCAGTGATAGGTGAAGTCAAGAAGTACCTGTGATGGTTCTGGGATGGAAAGAGATGATCAGCAGTAACACGTGAAGTCAAGAAGTACCTGTGATGTTCTGGGATGGAAAGAGATGATCAGCAGTGACACGTGAAGTCAAGAAGTACCTGTGATGGTTCTGGGATGGAAAGAGATGATCAGCAATGACATGTTAAGTCAAGAAGTACCTATGATGGTTCTGGGATGGAAAGAGATGATCAGCAGTGACACGTGAAGTCAAGAAGTACCTGTGATGGTTCTGAGGTGGAAAGAGATGATCATCAGTAACACGTTAAGTCAAGAAGTACCTATGATGGTTCTGGGATGGAAAGAGATGATCAGCAGTGACATGTTAAGTCAAGAAGTACCTGTGATGGTTCTGGGATGGAAAGAGATGATCAGCAGTGACACATGAAGTGACACATGAAGTCAAGAAGTACCTGTGATGGTTCTGCACACAGCCAAGGTCTCAGTAAGTTACTCTCTGATTGACAGGTCAGACAATGATCTACAATATCTCTGATACAGGCAGCAACATCTTCAGCTGTTAAACTTATAAACACCTGCAATTAGTTTCATGGCAAATATTACTACCTTCCATATATACACACACACACATTCTAATTCTCTTTCCTTGACCACTTTCAGCTAGGTCCGCTCACATTTCTGCTCACTTTCCTGTCAGCTATATTTGTGGTTACGGTTCTGGTCTCGATCTCATTTGGTTTTGGATTGACACACACACATATATACACACAAAATACATACACAAACACACTAGATTTAATTTCCTGGTATAGAGTAAAGCAATCTACATTCATTCTAATTACCTGTACTCATCAAATTTATCTTAATACTTGGTTATGGAATGTCATACTAAACAATAGTTAATATGCTGTAGAGTTCAAGAAAATATGTTTTAAAATCTGATTCCATAGCCACACACCAACTTAATACAACAATGTGCTAAGCCTGTGAGAGTGATTACCCCTGCGGTTCATGAATTACATGGCCAAGGGACGTAATGACATATGTAGTTTGCAAGGGATATAATTCTTGCCAAATGTGACGCTGAGTGATTGCCAGTTAATATGCTGAATATGACAGTTTTTGTGAAATTTTAGCGAGAATGATACCTGTAGGTTTAACCTATGTGTCATTGTTTGGGAGAATTCATTGCGATTGCTAACGTTCTGACAAACACATAGATTTTCTGATTTATATTATAGATGTATATGCCGGCTGGCATACCCCCCCCCCCCCCCCACCCCCTCAGCAGAAATGGCCACCTCAATAATTAAAAAAATGCTTCTCGTCCTTTTTAGGGCAAAATTTTTCATTATTTTAAGCCCTACTCTGGCTTTTGCCAGGGGCCGCAATATAGCCTGGACATAAATATGGCCTAAAGGCTGAACACGATTTCTGGGACCTCTCCACAGTGATCCTTATTCACGTGGTGGAATATTGTGTCATCGGGTGTTTATCGCTTGTGTGATGTCCTGGTGGGGTAGAAAGTCAGTCAGTCAGCCACCTCAATGTCTCCATATAGGAGTTAATTGGCACAACATCTTTTTTTGCCCCACAACCAGTTTCTGCAAGCTTGTTCTGGTTTAATACCCACACCCAACAGGCAGTTCATCATCTCTGACTCCTTTGTCTCAATATTCAGTATGTCTGCCCTGTTCATACTTCTTTCTTCATTAACCACTGCAGAAACTGCCAGTATGTCAGATCTTTCATCTTCTTTCATCCTGGTGTGTACAGTCAAGATAGTTTCTTGCAGTGAGACTTCTGGATACTGTCGACCCATTCTGTTTTCTATGTGTGTATCAGACAAGTGATTTGTAGATGTCAGCACACACGATCAATACAAAACCAGCTCTCTACATGTGTAGATGTTAGCACACACGATCAACACAAAACCAGCTCTCTACATGTAGATGTTAGCACACATGATCAACACAAAACCAGCTCTCTACACATGTAGATGTTAGCACACATGATCAACACAAAACCAGCTCTCTACACATGTAGATGTTAGCACACATGATCAACACAAAACAAGCTCTCTACATTTGTAGATGTTAGCACACATGATCAACACAAAACCAGCTTTCTACATGTAGATGTTAGCACACATGATCAACACAAAACCAGCTCTCTACACATGTAGATGTTAGCACACATGATCAACACAAAACAAGCTCTCTACATTTGTAGATGTTAGCACACATGATCAACACAAAACCAGCTTTCTACATGTAGATGTTAGCACACATGATCAACACAAAACCAGCTCTCTACACATGTAGATGTCAGCACACATGATCAACACAAAACCAGCTCTCTACACATGTAGATGTTAGCACACATGATCAACACAAAACAAGCTCTCTACATGTGTAGATGTTAGCACACATGATCAACACAAAACCAGCTCTCTACATGTGTAGATGTTAGCACACATGATCAACACAAAACCAGCTCTCTACATGTGTAGATGTTAGCACACATGATCAACATAAAATCAGCTCTCTATATGTGTAGATGTTAGCACACATGATCAACACAAAACCAGCTCTCTACATGTGTAGATGTTAGCACACATGATCAACACAAAACCAGCTCTCTACATGTGTAGATGTTAGCACACATGATCAACACAAAACCAGCTCTCTACATGTGTAGATGTTAGCACACATGATCAACACAAAACCAGCTCTCTACATGTGTAGATGTTAGCACACATGATCAACATAAAACCAGCTCTCTACATGTGTAGATGTTAGCACACATGATCAACATAAAACCAGCTCTCTACATGTGTAGATGTTAGCACACATGATCAACACAAAACCAGCTTTCTACATGTAGATGTTAGCACACATGATCAACACAAAACCAGCTCTCTACATGTGTAGATGTTAGCACACATGATCAACACAAAACCAGCTCTCTACATGTGTAGATGTTAGCACACATGATCAACACAAAACCAGCTCTCTACATGTGTAGATGTTAGCATACATGATCAACACAAAACCAGCTCTCTACATGTATAGCACACATGATCAACACAAAACCAGCTCTCTACATGTGTAGATGTTAGCACACATGATCAACACAAAACCAGCTCTCTACATGTGTAGATGTTAGCACACATGATCAACACAAAACCAGCTCTCTACATGTGTAGATGTTAGCACACATGATCAACATAAAATCAGCTCTCTACATGTGTAGATGTTAGCACACATGATCAACACAAAACCAGCTCTCTACATGTGTAGATGTTAGCACACATGATCAACACAAAACCAGCTCTCTACATGTGTAGATGTTAGCACACATGATCAACACAAAACCAGCTCTCTACATGTGTAGATGTTAGCACACATGATCAACACAAAACCAGCTCTCTACATGTGTAGATGTTAGCACACGTGATCAACATAAAACCAGCTCTCTACATGTGTAGATGTTAGCACACATGATCAACATAAAACCAGCTCTCTACATGTGTAGATGTTAGCACACATGATCAACACAAAACCAGCTTTCTACATGTAGATGTTAGCACACATGATCAACACAAAACCAGCTCTCTACATGTGTAGATGTTAGCACACATGATCAACACAAAACCAGCTCTCTACATGTAGATGTTAGCACACATGATCAACACAAAACCATCTCTCTACATGTGTAGATGTTAGCACACATGATCAACACAAAACCAGCTTTCTACATGTGTAGATGTTAGCACACATGATCAACACAAAACCAGCTCTCTACATGTGTAGATGTTAGCACACATGATCAACACAAAACCAGCTCTCTACATGTGTAGATGTTAGCATACATGATCAACACAAAACCAGCTCTCTACATGTGTAGATGTTAGCACACATGATCAACACAAAACCAGCTCTCTACATGTGTAGATGTTAGCACACATGATCAACACAAAACCAGCTCTCTACATGTGTAGATGTTAGCACACATGATCAACACAAAACCAGCTCTCTACATGTGTAGCACACATGATCAACACAAAACCAGCTCTCTACATGTGTAGATGTTAGCACACATGATCAACACAAAACCAGCTCTCTACATGTATAGCACACATGATCAACACAAAACCAGCTCTCTACATGTGTAGATTTTAGCACACATGATCAACACAAAACCAGCTCTCTACATGTGTAGATGTTAGCACACATGATCAACATAAAACCAGCTCTCTACATGTGTAGCACACATGATCAACATAAAACCAGCTCTCTACATGTGTAGATGTTAGCACACATGATCAACACAAAACCAGCTCTCTACATGTGTAGATGTTAGCACACATGATCAACACAAAACCAGCTCTCTACATGTGTAGATGTTAGCACACATGATCAACACAAAACCAGCTCTCTACATGTGTAGATGTTAGCACACATGATCAACACAAAACCAGCTCTCTACATGTGTAGCGCACATGATCAACACAAAACCAGCTCTCTACATGTGTAGATGTTAGCACACATGATCAACATAAAACCAGCCCTCTACATGTGTAGCACACAACACAAGTCAGCCCCCTGAGAGAATCAGACCATACCTTGTAGGATGCTTCCAAAGCTGATGATGCTCCTTTCAGGTTGCACAAAGCTGTTGTCAGCTTGTAGATGTTGCTCAAAACCTCCTTCTCCAAAACATAACTGTAAAGGATGTAAAGGATGCCTTAATGTCAAGAGGGGTGAGATACGCTTCTTCAAAATAATGCTGAACATCTCCTGGGCAGCCAGAATGAGCATTCTACACATTTCTAAAGAGACTAAGAGAAAACAACAAAACATAAATAGCAAACAAGAGAATGTCATCATTTTTTTACCATTATTTGGAAAAGAAAAACTGCTACATGTTTCAACAACTTAATAGATTTATGAAAAGAAAACAGAAAGTAGAGAATAAGAGAAGAATTTATACAGCATTTTTTTCATAGCATGGAAAGGTGTCAGTACAAGAAGTGATTCCCACAGCTGGAGATTACAAGATATGAAGGAGCATCATCACCCATGCCAGTTGGCAAGGCTTGTGATGGTGGTGGTGATGATATGATGTAACACAAAAGGATAGTTAGGACAAAGTGCATTCATGAAACAATGGTAATGGACACAGGTAACTGAGAAACACCTGCCATGTGTGCAGCAGCAAGGTATTGAAGGTAGTCTGTCCCTCTCCAGGACTGCAGTCTGTGTGATAAACACCTCAAACAGGTAGAAATCCCTGAAGCTCCGTTCAACCATTAACAAAAAAGCAGTTATACTGGGGCCCCCGGTGGTTATGTAGAAGCATGAAGTCCAGAGTGGGTAGGAGGTCATGGTAAGCAATAAACACATGGCAGGAGTGTTTCAGTGAGAATGATTTCAGTGGCTGGAGAGTAAGAAGTACCTGGTGCCAGCATCCATGCCATGTAAGATAATACAGCAATGAGAAAACTGTAAACCCAGCGAGACAAATCTGCTGACAGCTGTTGTCAAATCCCAGGCTCTCTTCAAGTCTTCCATGGCCAGTAAAACAATGCTTTGTGTTGTGCTGACAATGAGATCGGCAAAGTAGATGTTTGACTCTGGGGCACACAGTTTATGATACTGTCGCTCTAGGACCAGGATGTTGAACCTATAGACACCACAGGAACATTGTTTCATATTGCAATGGCAGTGACACTGCTATACATTATAGTTAATAATGTCTTTACAACAACAAAATGGAATGGAGGAAGGAGAGAGGAAGGGCGGCTTCTTTACCACAATAAACAGTACCCTGAAGATGGACACAATGGATACATGGTGGCGGCATCTGGTACAACTAACTTCAGGTGATCACTTGATTTGGAAGAGAGTGCCAATAACAAGGATTATCAGCTGAAATAATCAATCGGATACTTTAAGAATACAATGTTAATGAGATTATCTAAACATTTTTTGTACAGTACCTGTCATAACCACAAAACAAAAGATGCAGAAAGGATAGTATCTCAATTAATAAAATGTCTTAAAGAAACGTGTATACCTTAGATAAAATAGCAAAAATATCCTCTACAACCTCAATAAATACTATAAATCAAACTGATGGTCGAACAGGACTTTTTTCTACTATTACTCTGAGCTTTGGAAAATTGGGAATGTATGAGTGTATGAGTGGCTGCCACATGTGTAGACCTGAATCCCATGAGAACTTTGTGGGAACTTTTGTCCAGGTTTGTGGAAACAAGGAAGGCGGTATGCTGGCTTCAGTCTACACGCAGTGAGTTGTTGGCTCTTTATGAAATTGGACTGGACACCTGCAGTTGAATGTACTCACCTTGTTTCAAGCAAATAGACCAGCTGAGTGTACTGCGTGACTTCCATAGAACAGACTACAGTAATCTGTGCCATGCTTCTGGGTCCAGCTGGTTTCTCTATCAAATATCAAACATGAGTTGAGGCCCTGCAGCTAAGCCACAGATAACCAGATGATCTAGTGTACCTAACACTGACAACATTTGTGCATTCCTGGTGATTTCTGCTTCTTCTTACATGAGTTGAGGCCCTGCAGCTAAGCCACAGATAACCAGATGATCTAGTGTACCTAACACTGACAACATTTGTGCATTCCTGGTGATTTCTGCTTCTTCTTACATGAGTTGAGGCCCTGCAGCTAAGCCACAGATAACCAGATGATCTAGTGTACCTAACACTGACAACATTTGTGCATTCCTGGTGATTTCTGCTTCTTCTTACATGAGTTGAGGCCCTGCAGCTAAGCCACAGATAACCAGATTATCTAGTGTACCTAACACTGACAACATTTGTGCATTCCTGGTGATTTCTGCTTCTTCTTACATGAGTTGAGGCCCTGCAGCTAAGCCACAGATAACCAGATTATCTAGTGTACCTAACACTGACAACATTTGTGCATTCCTGGTGATTTCTGCTTCTTCTTACATGAGTTGAGGCCCTGCAGCTAAGCCACAGATAACCAGATGATCTAGTGTACCTAACACTGACAACATTTGTGCATTCCTGGTGATTTCTGCTTCTTCTTACATGAGTTGAGGCCCTGCAGCTAAGCCACAGATAACCAGATGATCTAGTGTACCTAACACTGACAACATTTGTGCATTCCTGGTGATTTCTGCTTCTTCTTACATGAGTTGAGGCCCTGCAGCTAAGCCACAGATAACCAGATGATCTAGTGTACCTAACACTGACAACATTTGTGCATTCCTGGTGATTTCTGCTTCTTCTTACATGAGTTGAGGCCCTGCAGCTAAGCCACAGATAACCAGATGATCTAGTGTACCTAACACTGACAACATTTGTGCATTCCTGGTGATTTCTGCTTCTTCTTACATGAGTTGAGGCCCTGCAGCTAAGCCACAGATAACCAGATGATCTAGTGTACCTAACACTGACAACATTTGTGCATTCCTGGTGATTTCTGCTTCTTCTTACATGAGTTGAGGCCCTGCAGCTAAGCCACAGATAACCAGATGATCTAGTGTACCTAACACTGACAACATTTGTGCATTCCTGGTGATTTCTGCTTCTTCTTACATGAGTTGAGGCCCTGCAGCTAAGCCACAGATAACCAGATGATCTAGTGTACCTAACACTGACAACATTTGTGCATTCCTGGTGATTTCTGCTTCTTCTTACATGAGTTGAGGCCCTGCAGCTAAGCCACAGATAACCAGATGATCTAGTGTACCTAACACTGACAACATTTGTGCATTCCTGGTGATTTCTGCTTCTTCTTACATGAGTTGAGGCCCTGCAGCTAAGCCACAGATAACCAGATGATCTAGTGTACCTAACACTGACAACATTTGTGCATTCCTGGTGATTTCTGCTTCTTCTTACATGAGTTGAGGCCCTGCAGCTAAGCCACAGATAACCAGATGATCTAGTGTACCTAACACTGACAACATTTGTGCATTCCTGGTGATTTCTGCTTCTTCTTCATCTTCTGGTCTTAGTGTTCACCGGCTGCAAACTCTGTGGGAATATTCTAGGTGTTCCAATTGTAGGCATTCATCTTGTTACAGAACTTGAGTTTTGCATGCACAGATCTGGTTTATCTGTATGCAGACTGTTGGTTTTTGGCACATGTGTACTCTGACTTCTTAGAAAAAACACAAAATTAGTCACCTTTTACAAACATGCTTGTTAGGGGTCAGTGAGTCTATACTTTTTCTTCCCCCCAAAACAGGACCTCAAATCCACAGTATTGAAAATACTAATTTAATAATAATATAATAATAATCATGTGCCTTACTGGGTGGCACAGCAATTATGTTTCTCCACAAACATCTATTGTTTGTGGCCTTGTAAAGTTTAACTAGTTAGTTTCTGCCATTGCCAACTCATGCAGCATATCCTCTGGCTATTTTCAGCTAATGTAACCTTCACATGTTTCCTGGTTGTCATCATCTTCTCCATACCCGCTTTACCATCCTACCATCCTCATTTCTTACCACAGATCTCAGTCCTATGTATTTTGAATCAATCCTCCCAATGATATCCCTCCATTCCATGGCTTCATGCTGTCAAGCATCGTCTCTCTTGATCTGCCCCTGCCTCTTCTAGCATTGATCTTTCCAGTCATCACCATGTTCTCAGTTCCTCACTTGATCTGCCCCTGCCTCTTCTAGCATTGATCTTTCCAGTCATCGCCATGATCTCAGTTCCTCACTTGGTCTGCCCCTGCCTCTTCTAGTATTTATCTTTCCAGTCATCACCATGATCTCAGTTCCTCACTTGGTCTGTCCCTGCCTCTTCTAGCATTGATCTTTCCAGTCATCACCATGTTCTCAGTTCCTCACTTAGTCTGCCCCTGCCTCTTCTAGTATTTATCTTTCCAGTCATCATGATATTCTGTAATGCCTCTCTTCTCATCACATGACCGAAGAACTCTGTCTCTTTTTTATAGTTGTAAATAGTTTTCTAGTGCCATCAGCCATTTCCAGGCTGTTGTTGTTAGTCACTGTGTGTGCACACGGTATCCACAGCATGAGTCTCACCAACCACATCTCCAAGGCCTTATTTCTTTGCTCTTCTTCATTTGTTCATTCACATTCCAAGATTCACTGCCATACGGCAGCACTGGTTGAACATAATGTTTCAGACCCTCTTAACTCGACAAATATAGTGATGCTGAGGATCAAATGTCTTTGTGAACCGGCCCTTTGCATGTTACAGACATCTGACATCTCAGTTTGCTTCTACCTGCTAATTCAAGGTGCATGTAGACAAGAGAAACAGCTGATAACACACAGTGTGTTGCTTAGAACATCAAGAGACCTCATAATGAATCACTGCCACTGATGCAGTAATGTCACAATGGACTGTGGGGCTTTGGAGATCAGGCTTCTATTAGAGTGTAAATAAAGTACCAACCTGTGAGATCTGTACCACCTGAGTACTGTGCCAGCAGTCCAATATATGAGATCCCTGCAAGCTGACACCACGACTTGATGTGGGCATTCTGTCTTTCATCATAAAGGATAACAAGTCTGAACAGCTGCAGCATCTCATGTCTAGCATCAGCCACACTTGCAATCAATGCTGTGCTGCTCTTCAGCTGCCTACAAACAGACAGAGTAAATCTTAATGACATTCCCAACATGTATTCACCATACTTTCAGCTTTAGTGTTCACAACAGACCACCGTGACTACTTGAAATGTGATGCTTATTCCCAGCTGTAAAAGCTAGTTGTTGCCTGGTCAATTTGACAAGACAAGCTGGAGACAGCAGAGGGAAATGTTTTGTTATGTGATGTTATCGCAATCAACATCACTGCACACTGCATTCCAATGTGTGCTCAGTCCTCTGATGCAGCAACCACTCCAGAGTACTTCTACTAATTATTCCCATGAGAAGCTGGTTATATTACCTCCAGTTGGCCTCAAATATGGCAAAGACGTGCTTCACCATGCTTTACTCCCATGTCACGCAATCGTGTTAGTGTCAGGGATTCCTTATTATCCACTAGCCCAGTCTGTACAGCGTTGACGAGATCTGCTCTGTCAATGCTTCTTTCCACATGCTTTAGTGTAGTGCTTACCAGCTGGTCTGCTTGCTCACTTTCATACCACCTGCTGCTATCTTCTGGAGCATGTTCATGGAGTCTGATACAATAACTGCCTGTGTGGCGGTTTGCTCGGATACCCATGCTAATGCTCTAGAAGCAGCGGATATTTCCATGGTCATGCTTGATGTGGTTGTCTGGTAAGCGCCGCTGTCCTCCTGTATTTTTGTCCCCATTCTTTGCGCTGTAATGCCTATGCTGACCTTGATCTGCAAATATTACTTATATCACAGATTTCAGATGAGTTTACTGCAGCAATCTCTCTCTCTCTCATGCGTGTGTGTGTGTGTGTGTGTGCATGCATGCATGAGGGCAGGGTTGCAGGTGCATGTGTGAAGGGAGGAACCCTGAGTTGGCTGGTACCTGTCTGTAAGTATGTGTGGTGTGATAGTAGTCCCTGGTAATCAGTCTTGCCGTACACTCTTGTTTAACTTCTAATCATGAATGTAAACAGTGGGGGCATCAACTAAGTTGCTAAGCTAAAGTAAAATACACAATTAAAGAATCAGTTTCTGTTTTGGGACATAGTCATCAACTGCTGCTAGTCTCATTGTTTCATAGAGCAACAGAGAATCTATGGGAGATGTGCTGAATATCATGCTAGCAGCCTTTCATAGAGCAACAGAGAATCTATGGGAGATGTGCTAAATATCATGCTGGCAGCCTTTCATAGAGCAACAGAGAATCTATGGGAGATGTTCTGAATATCATGCTGGCAGCCTTTCATAGAGCAACAGAGAATCTATGGGAGGTGCTAAATATCATGCTGGCAGCCTTTCATAGAGCAACAGAGAATCTATGGGAGATGTGCTAAATATTATGTTGGCAGCCTTTCATAGAGCAACAGAGAATCTATGGGAGATGTGCTAAATATCATGCTGGCAGCCTTTCATAGAGCAACAGAGAATCTATGGGAGATGTACTAAATATCATGCTGGCAGCCTTTCATAGAACAACAGAGATTCTATGGGAGATGTGCTGAATATCATGCTGGCAGCCTTTCATAGAGCAACAGAGATTCTATGGGAGATGTGCTAAATATCATGCTAGCAGCCTTTCATAGAGCAACAGAGAATCTATGGGAGATGTGCTAAATATCATGCTGGCAGCCTTTCATAGAGCAACAGAGATTCTATGGGAGATGTGTTGAATATCATGCTGGCAGCCTTTCATAGAGCAACAGAGAATCTATGGGAGATGTGCTAAATATCATGCTGGCAGCCTTTCATAGAGCAACAGAGATTCTATGGGAGATGTGCTAAATATCATGCTGGCAGCCTTTCATAGAGCAACAGAGATTCTATGGGAGATGTGTTGAATATCATGCTGGCAGCCTTCATAGAGCAACAGAGATTCTATGGGAGATGTGCTAAATATCATGCTGGCAGCCTTTCATAGAGCAACAGAGATTCTATGGGAGATGTGCTGAATATCATGCTGGCAGCCTTTCATAGAGCAACAGAGAATCTATGGGAGATGTGCTAAATATCATGCTAGCAGCCTTTCATAGAGCAACAGAGAATCTATGGGAGATGTGCTAAATATCATGCTGGCAGCCTTTCATAGAGCAACAGAGAATCTATGGGAGATGTGCTGAATATCATGCTGGCAGTCTTTCATAGAGCAACAGAGAATCTATGGGAGATGTGCTGAATATCAAGCTGGCAGCCTTTCATAGAGCAACAGAGAATCTATGGGAGATGTGCTAAATATCATGCTGGCAGCCTTTCATAGAGCAACAGAGATTCTATGGGAGATGTGCTGAATATCATGCTGGCAGCCTTTCATAGAGCAACAGAGATTCTATGGGAGATGTGCTAAATATCATGCTGGCAGCCTTTCATAGAGCAACAGAGATTCAATGGGAGATGTGCTAAATATCATGCTGGCAGCCTTTCATAGAGCAACAGAGAATCTATGGGAGATGTGCTGAATATCATGCTGGCAGTCTTTCATAGAGCAACAGAGAATCTATGGGAGATGTGCTGAATATCATGCTGGCAGCCTTTCATAGAGCAACAGAGAATCTATGGGAGATGTGCTAAATATCATGCTGGCAGCCTTTCATAGAGCAACAGAGATTCTATGGGAGATGTGCTGAATATCATGCTGGCAGCCTTTCATGTCCACACTTCTGAGTACTAGGGCAGAGGGGTGGGGTGGGGAGGGCTATCTGTGGTGAAGTGGTCATTTCACAAAAGGGTTGTTCAGTTCACAAGCACAATTTTTATGGATATCACTGGGGACCAGTGCTGGAGCTATGGAACTTGTGCTTTATGTGACTCAGTGGGCTACTAGCTGTTATGTGGAGAGAGACCAAGCCAATCAGCTGCTGCCTGGTTGCCAAATCTCTCATTTGTAAGTCCCCCACAGTTAATGACTGACACTAACAACTCACCTGGGTTTATCACACTTCCCGTCTTTCAGGATGCTAACAGTCAGCTGAGGGATCTGAGAGAGAACACCATCTACAGCACTGACCAGACTCTTGAGACCTGTCTCTACCAGGATCAGAATCTGAAAGCACAAGGGACACAAATCATCAGACAACTGCTGCAGTCACAAATTATTTTCAATGTTTACAGCTATACACAATCTATTACATTGTTAATATTCTAGCTATATACATTTCAAGGGCTACACATATTATATCTATATTTCCATCTGGCACAAGTTCAATAATGACTGCAGCAAGGATGAGAGCTGAGTGTCTGTCTGGCACAAGTTCAATAATGACTGCAGCAAGGATGAGAGCTGAGTGTCTGTCTGGCACAAGTTCAATAATGACTGCAGCAAGGATGAGAGCTGAGTGTCTGTCTGGTACAAGTTCAATAATGACTGCAGCAAGGATAAGAGCTGAGTGTCTGTCTGGCACAAGTTCAATAATGACTGCAGCAAGGATGAGAGCTGCGTGTCTGTCTGGCACAAGTTCAATAATGACTGCAGCAAGGATGAGAGCTGCATGTCTGTCTGGCACAAGTTCAATAATGACTGCAGCAAAGATGAGAGCTGCGTGTCTGTCTGGCACAAGTTCAATAATGACTGCAGCAAGGATGAGAGCTGCATGTCTGTCTGGCACAAGTTCAATAATGACTGCAGCAAAGATGAGAGCTGAGTGTCTGTCTGGCACAAGTTCAATAATGACTGCAGCAAGGATAAGAGCTGCGTGTCTGGCACAAGTTCAATAATGACTGCAGCAAGGATAAGAGCTGAGTGTCTGTCTGGCACAAGTTCAATAATGACTGCAGCAAGGATAAGAGCTGCGTGTCTGGCACAAGTTCAATAATGACTGCAGCAAGGATAAGAGCTGAGTGTCTGTCTGGCACAAGTTCAATAATGACTGCAGCAAGGATAAGAGCTGCGTGTCTGGCACAAGTTCAATAATGACTGCAGCAAGGATAAGAGCTGAGTGTCTGTCTGGCACAAGTTCAATAATGACTGCAGCAAGGATGAGAGCTGAGTGTCTGTCTGGCACAAGTTCAATAATGACTGCAGCAAGGATGAGAGCTGAGTGTCTGTCTGGCACAAGTTCAATATTGACTGCAGCAAGGATGAGAGCTGAGTGTCTGTCTGGCACAAGTTCAATAATGACTGCAGCAAGGATGAGAGCTGAGTGTCTGTCTGGCACAAGTTCAATAATGACTGCAGCAAAGATGAGAGCTGAGTGTCTGTCTGGCACAAGTTCAATAATGACTGCAGCAAGGATGAGAGCTGAGTGTCTGTCTGGCACAAGTTCAATAATGACTGCAGCAAGGATAAGAGCTGAGTGTCTGTCTGGCACAAGTTCAATAATGACTGCAGCAAGGATGAGAGCTGAGTGTCTGGCACAAGTTCAATAATGACTGCAGCAAGGATAAGAGCTGCGTGTCTGTCTGGTACAAGTTCAATAATGACTGCAGCAAGGATAAGAGCTGCGTGTCTGTCTGGCACAAGTTCAATAATGACTGCAGCAAGGATGAGAGCTGAGTGTCTGTCTGGCACAAGTTCAATAATGACTGCAGCAAGGATGAGAGCTGAGTGTCTGTCTGGCACAAGTTCAATAATGACTGCAGCAAGGATGAGAGCTGCGTGTCTGTCTGGCACAAGTTCAATAATGACTGCAGCAAGGATGAGAGCTGAGTGTCTGGCACAAGTTCAATAATGACTGCAGCAAGGATAAGAGCTGCGTGTCTGTCTGGTACAAGTTCAATAATGACTGCAGCAAGGATGAGAGCTGAGTGTCTGGCACAAGTTCAATAATGACTGCAGCAATGATGAGAGCTGCGTGTCTGTCTGGCACAAGTTCAATAATGACTGCAGCAAGGATGAGAGCTGCGTGTCTGTCTGGCACAAGTTCAATAATGACTGCAGCAAGGATGAGAGCTGAGTGTCTGGCACAAGTTCAATAATGACTGCAGCAAGGATAAGAGCTGCGTGTCTGTCTGGTACAAGTTCAATAATGACTGCAGCAAGGATGAGAGCTGAGTGTCTGAGGAGAAACACACTAAATGCAAATGTTGACAACAATGGTCCTAAAATCCCATGCTATAACTGTACAAAACTTTTTTTACGCAGACAGATCTTGCTAGTCACACTCACCATCACCATGAGCTGATCAACAAACTGATCCAAAACACCAAGGACTGAGATCTATGGAGAGACACCAATATCTACACACCAGTTGACAAGGTATATAATGATGTTTTGATGATGATGATGATGTATTTGAAAGAGTTACTGCTTGCAGATCATTGCCTGCCATATTGTTCTACTGATCGGTCTAGGCTGGTGCTCTGGTCTCCATCAGTAACAATCCCCATGTTCAAACTTTTGGGGCCTGTGAAAACTTAGTCGAATAACCCTTAAATAGATCAAGTCAGACCTGAGATCCGGGAAGTTCTATGGAACATTTGATGACTTCATTGAACAAAACACTCAGCTTTGGGTGTGTTCTATTTTCTTGAAGAAACTGGCACTGGTAGTGGAAGAGCTGCTGGTGAACTTTGTTGCAACATTCTGAAACCGAGTGCAACAGTTGAGCTGCAAGAATTATCACTGCAGAAGAACATGGCATTATAGAATATAATCAACAGATAATGGAACAAATATTGGAATAAATGTAGAGACAGCTTAAGATAATTATAACATCATATGTTTCAGTTAAGCTGAGTTATGAGCTCATGACATTTCCATTAGTGCTCCGTCCCTATCTTCAGCAGGCAGTGAGAAGTTTATATGCTAACGATAGCATTAGTAGTTTAAATATATGTTCATTTTGTCCTTCCTCTGGGTGTCAATATTTCATCTTGCCTTCCCCCTAAGTGTCAATATTTTATCTTGCCTTTCTTCTGGTTGTCAATGTTCCCTCTTACCTTTCCTCAGAGTGTCAATGTTTCATCTTGCCTTTTCTCGGAGTGTCAATGTTTCATCTTGTCTTTCCTCTAAGTGTCAATGTTTCATCTTGTCTTTCCTCTAAGTGTCAATGTTTCATCTTGTCTTTCCACTGAGTGTCAATGTTTCATCTTGTCTTTCCTCTAAGTGTCAATGTTTCATCTTGTCTTTCCTCTGAGTGTCAATGTTTCATCTTGTCTTTCCTCTAAGTGTCAATGTTTCATCTTGTCTTTCATCTAAGTGTCAATGTTTCATCTTGCCTTTTTCCTGAGTGTTAATGTTTCATCTTGCCTTTCCTCTAAGTGTCAATGTTTCATCTTGCCTTTCCTCTAAGTGTCAATGTTTCATCTTGCCTTTCCTCTAAGTGTCAATGTTTCATCTTGCCTTTCCTCTAAGTGTCAATGTTTCATCTTGCCTTTCCTCTAAGTGTCAATGTTTCATCTTGCCTTTCCTCTAAGTGTCAATGTTTCATCTTGTCTTTCCTCTAAGTGTCAATGTTTCATCTTGCCTTTCCTCTAAGTGTCAATGTTTCATCTTGCCTTTCCTCTAAGTTTCAATGTTTCATCTTGCCTTTCCTCTAAGTGTCAATGTTTCAAATGAATTTCTTTATCGAGAAAAAAAAAAACCCAAAACTGAAAATATTTATTTGACACACTTTAGAGACGATATTGTCAGGGCTTTTTCTTCAGGTGGTATGCAATGGTATGCAGTACCAGCACCTATTTTAAGCATCATCATTTATTTCAGTGCTACTGTAACAGACACTTTGTGGTGAGTACTAGCCTCTTCTTTTCTACAAATAAAGCCCTGGATACTAGAATTTGCTTGGCTAAATATGTTGTGGATATTGCTAATTCAGTGTTCTCTGTAATGAACAAAAGCTACTTGGGGAGATTGTATAGTATGTATGAATTCTGGACTATGAAATGAACAAGCAGGTAATCCAAAGTAACTACCCAACAGTTGTTATGCCACTCAAAATGTGGCATTTCTTCAAATTATCATTTGTTTAGAATCTAGTACAAGATGCCAAAAGTAGCTGATTACAAAAAACAGCATTGACCTTGTAGATAGTCATCAGATTATCCTCACTGCACATTGAACCATTCAGTCCATAAGTGCTCAGATCCCCTCCCTAGTAACTCCAGCAGTGTGTAGCAGTTCACAACACCACTTATTCTTTGGCTTCCTGCATTGTGCTTGTCTGGCCACACCCCTTTTAACTACTTGTTCTTGCAGTCTGGTCCTGGTTACAGACCTAGTAGCCTTCTACAAAGACGGCCACCAAGGACATAAGTATCGAGAACTTGAGAGGAGACTGTCTTGTTGAAGACGGTGCTGTGATATTCTACAGCTTTAACCCTGTCACCCTAAGAACGCTTTAAAAAAGGGGTCATAACTCTATGGAAATTCTCCCAACCCACGAAAAAATCTTTAACAAATGTTTTTTTTAAATTTAGGTCACTGAAACATTGATAAAAATGTATTATCTACAGTTTTAATGTTATTGTTTTTAAAAAAAGTGTATGAAGATTTATAACTAAATGCTATCTTAGACTGCCTAACATTTGAGCAGGTGCAAACTGAGTCAATAGTATGCAAATTCATAAACAGGTCACTAGAAAAAAAAGAAAAGTGACATTTATGGAGAACTGGACCTAAAAGGAAGTATATGTTTCGGGGCTTAACAGGGTTAGATCATAAGGCTCCCCATCTGGGTTCTGGTATTCAAAGGGAAGAGCTCCATCAGATGTTGCTCGACTAAGTCTGAGGTAAGAAGACCATCTCATCAACTAACAGAGAAAGGGGAGGTCTCTATGGTGAAATGGTCAAGACCTTTCCCTTGTATTCTGAAGGATGTTGGTTCGTTTCCTGGGCACAATTTTTATCACATCCCAGGGATCGTTGTTGGAGGTACTGAGTTCATGCATTGGTGTGATGCTCTCGGCAGGCAGCTAGTGGTTCTATGGGAATGGGCAGCTGGCTATATGTATGGGATATACTCGGCACAATGAGTTTACTTTTATAATATATTTATATGTCAGAATGAGGTCTCAGACTTCACTCTTAGCCTGGTACTGAACCACACAGGGACTATACTGCAGTGCTCTCTCTCCCCTCTCCAATCTCAGAAACCAGGAGATACAAGCATTAGTACTGGAGCCTCACAGCTGCAGGTAAGTTATATTGCAAAGAAAGCAGGTCATGTATCAGTGCAGTAACTGAGGACTTGCTAAGATGAAGTCTAGGTTTTTGTTTTCTCCGTAAGTTCTAGGCACTTTACTGTCAACAAACAGACTGCAACTTAATTATAAGGACTCTAATAGAGACCATCTCAGAGTCTTCACACAGACATACCGGCAATCTCTGCTGGTTTATCCTCACTGCTGGCAGCCAAATAAGCAATACAAGACTCCAAACAGGCATGAAGCAAACGGTCTGCTGCTGTTCTAAGAATGTGAACAATGGACAGACTCTGCAGGAGACTGTCTGTGATAGAAGTCATACAAATTAGCAATGACACGGATCTGGCTGCTTGCCTAATAACAGAATAGTTTAAGGTTGAGCTGAGCTGTAAGAACTGATATCCCAGCACCAAGGACATTACCATAAGTGTTATGTCTCAGCAGTTAAGAACAGCCACGGGTTGACAACTCAGCAGTATAGTACAGCCAAGAGTAGACAACTCAGCAGTATAGTACAGCCAAGAGTAGACAACTCAGCAGTATAGTAAAGCCAAGCATAGACAACTCAGCAGTATAGTACAGCCAAGGGTAGACAACTCAGCAGGATAGTAAAGCCAAGCATAGACAACTCAGCAGTATAGTACAGCCAAGGGTGGAGAACTCAGCAGTATAGTACAGCCTAGGGTAGACAGCTCAGCAGTATAGTACAGCTTCGGGTAGACAGCTCAGCAGTATAGTACAGCCAAGGGTGGAGAACTCAGCAGTATAGTACAGCCAAGGGTGGAGAACTCAGCAGTATAGTACAGCCAAGGTTAGACAGCTCAGCAGTATAGTACAGCCAAGGTTAGACAGCTCAGCAGTATAGTACAGCAAAAGGTAGACAAAGACAACTCAGCAGTATAGTACAGCCAAGGGTGGAGAACTCAGCAGTATAGTACAGCCAAGGTTAGACAGCTCAGCAGTGTAGTACAGCCAAGGTTAGACAGCTCAGCAGTATAGTACAGCCAAGGTTAGACAGCTCAGCAGTATAGTACAGCAAAAGGTAGACAAAGACAACTCAGCAGTATAGTACAGCCAAGGGTGGAGAACTCAGCAGTATAGTACAGCCAAGGGTGGAGAACTCAGCAGTATAGTACAGCAAAAGGAAGACAAAGACAACTCAGCAGTATAGTACAGCCAAGGTTAGACAGCTCAGCAGTATAGTACAGCAAAAGGTAGACAAAGACAACTCAGCAGTATAGTACAGCCAAGGTTAGACAGCTCAGCAGTATAGTACAGCCAAGGGTGGAGAACTCAGCAGTATAGTACAGCCTAGAGTAGACAGCTCAGCAGTATAGTACAGCCAAGGTTAGACAGCTCAGCAGTATAGTACAGCAAAAGGAAGACAAAGACAACTCAGCAGTATAGTACAGCCAAGGGTAGACAACTCAGCAGTATAGTACTGCCAAGGGTAGGGAACTCAGCAGTACAATACAGCCAAGGGTGGAGATCTCAGCAGTATAGTACATCCTAGGGTAGACAGCTCAGCAGTATAGTACAGCAAAAGGAAGACAAAGACAACTCAGCAGTATAGTACGGCCAAAGGTAGACATTTCAGCAGTTTAGTACAGTCAAGGGTAGACAACTCCACAGTTTAGTACAGTCAAGGGTAGACAACTCAGCAGTATAGTACAGCCAAAGGAAAACATTTCAGCAGTTTAGTACAGCCAAGGGTAGACAACTCCACAGTAAAGTACAGCCAAAGGTAGACAATCAAGCAGTATAGTACAGTCAAGGGTCGACAACTCAGCAGTATGGTACAGCCAATGGTAGACAACTCAGCAATATAGGATAGCCAAGGGCAGACAGCCGAAGGTAGACAATTCAGCAGTCTAGTACAGAAAAGGGTAGACAACAGCAGTGTAGTACAGCCAAGGGTAGACAACTCAGCAGTATGGTACAGCCAAGGGTAGAGAACTCAGCAATATAGTATAGCCAAGAGCAGGCAGCCACAGGTAAACAATTCAATAGTGTAGTACAGCCAGTGTTAGACCATCTAGCATTACAGTACAGTCAAGGATAGACAATTCAACCGTATAGTAATTCAGCAGCACTCTAACACAAAAATAAAAAATAGAAAGTTGTTTCAGCTTGTAAATATTCTATAAATAGTACTTGTGTGAGTGCAGCTTGTAAATATTCTACAAATAGTACCTGTGTGAGAGCAGCTTGTAAATATTCTACAAACAGTACCTGTGTGAGTGCAGCTTGTAAATATTCTACAAATAGTACCTGTGTGAGTGCAGCTTGTAAATATTCTACAAATAGTACCTGTGTGAGTGCAGCTTGTGTTAGTCTTATCGTCTGACATCTGTTTTTCTCTTTCTTTAAGCAAAAATCTGCTCATTTCAATACTAATGTCCATGAGTTGTTGCTGGTGTGCAATCAAAGTCTCCTGTTTCAAATGCTCCAAGTAGACTGCAGCTGAGTCAATGATGTACTGCAAAACATTCTCCCA